CTTTAGCAAAATATCACCCTAAACATCATCATCAATGCATTCTTCATCGCCTACAATGTCTGGGTCTGGGAGAATCACTACTAAATCTGTCTCACCTTGATCATTGTCATTTGGTGAAAGTTCTAAAACATCATCTTCATCTAAGTCAGGGGTCGCCAAACTTTTTTTATCATCGCCCCCTATATAATTTTTTGAAATCTCCATAGACCCACACAAAGGTAATTTTCAGGTAATTAAAATAAAACTATATATTAGTCTAAATATTTAATAAATCAGAAACAGTAAGTAAAGTAGCTACAGACTTTTTACTTCTTAATGAGATGAGTGTGCCTGGTGTTTCTTGGCAAGGTTCGCTATATTGGGTTCGAAATTAGTCAATTTTAACCGTACAATTAGTCAATTTCCCCTCGAAGCTCCACATTTAATTGTACTTCTGTTTTTAGTTAAAATTGAATTAACGTGACTGAAACCGGCTTCAATCATTTACGAACTTGGAAACACCAGCATAAATGGCTGAGCCATTTCGTAAAGTTTCACATATTTTTGCTTTATATTTATATTAGTCCAAAATTTATGTATTGTCAAATTTTTAATAAGCGTTTTTGCTTCAAGATTGGACAACAGTTCAGCAAGCTCATCTTGTATGTTGATGTCGACGTTATCAATTTGAATCAAATCATCAAAGAATATAATATTAAGTCAATTATAAAAATATTTTAAATTTTTACGTACGCAGTTAGATATGTGTGATTTGCGTATTAAGAACTGTTTTTTCTTCGAGTCCCAATAGACCCCCATTCGACCCTTGCGTCAGATAGACCCCTACTGTTGTTAAATAGACCCCTAGGGGTCTATATAGACCACTTTGGCGACCCCTGATCTAAGTGCTTCATAAACTCTAATGCTTCAGTCAAAGGTAAAAACAGGTGTCTTGCAAATTTGTTATTGTGGAACTATTGATTTGCGGAATTTGTGAAAGAAAATCCCATTATCTGTGAAAATCTGTGTATATTCACAAAAACACTGGTTTTAAACTGGCATGTTTTCACAACAGTTTAAAAAATGCATATCTATACCAACAAAGAAAATACAGTAACTTTACCTTTTGATGCCATATCTAATTTTTCTAGATTGGCTGTCTTCAGAAAACCATTTGATTATTTAGCAGATCTACTCAGAATTATATAAAAACACTTTGCGAAAAATACCAAAATTAATTTTTATAGAAACATTGAAGCTTTATCCAAAATTTACCAATAACTTAAAGGAAAAAAACACTTGATTAGAAGACAAAAGAAAAGTGTTATGATTAATGTTGTGAAAACATAATGTCAATCGTTAATGAGTTAACAGAGATCTCAGTTGATAGAGATCTGGTTAATAAAGGTTCTACTGTAGCTTTGAAAAATAATACTCACAAATTAAATCAAATTATACCATATATCAGTCATTCATGGTAGTTCCAAATTTAAATGTTTATTATAAAACTCTTAATTATCATTTTGCAAGCATATAATTGCTTAGCTTTGTAAGTGACTATATGAGATATTACTCCCATGTAAAAATAAATTGCTGAATGCTATAAAAGTTGCTGAATTGCTGAATCTCCCCTTTTTAATGCCTAACTGTGGTGTGCAGCTCGACTTCCACAACCTGCAAAGTCTGAAGTTACAATTACTGAAATCAGAAGTAAATATTTTTTTGTAATTAAAATAAATTTGTATTCTTTTAAAATATTTAATTATTTATAATTTACTATATGGATTGCATTTTCTAGTACTTAAGTGCATTTCTTTTTAATAGCATTTAATAGTATGATTTATAATAATCTGTATTAATGTAACTAACTAACTAAATGTAATATTGTAATTCATAATTGTATTTGTTGCAAAATAGGTTTCTACCAAGGAAATTTGGTATTTAAGTATTTTCCCATCACTTATTTTCATCCAGCCAGATACTGTGATTTAATATCATTAATGAATGAGCATTACATCTCAACATGCTCATAACTTTTTCACCTTGGTTTTATATAATCTGGATTAATAATTGGAAAGACAGTTTTAGTTTTTATAGAAAAGGATATAATTTGACTACTGTATAGTCATTAGTCAGCATCTGTGATTAAATAAATATCTTGGTATTCAATAAATAACAACACAAATAATGTTCTTTCGAAGTAAACCTTTTCCATACATATAGTTTTCAGCAGCCTTCTTAATCTGTTTCTTTTAAAGTTCACTGTTGCATAAGCTGATAGAAGAGACTTCAAATAAAAATATGTGCTTGAAAAATAATAAATTCTGTAACTGAAATCTTTGGAATATTAAAATCATTAAAATCACACTCTACTATTTCTCAATTTTCGCTTGATGAAAATGATGATTCTTTTCCTGACCTGCAGTGATAAAATGAGACCTGAAGTGATAAATTTTGGAACCTACTGTCTACAGTACAGGAATCATTTTCAAAATTATGGGCTTCTAGTGTGAAAAAAGGTGAGCATGTAACATGCACCAAATTCACAGTAATAATTATTTTGTTGCGATTTTAATGCCGTAAGGATCTTGAGCTGCCAAAATGACTGGAATAAGTGTTAATGAATTTTTTTTGTCAGATAATCTCAAGACTTGAGCTAATATATTAAAAATTTTTATATATTATGTGTATAACTTGTATCTATTGATAATTAACCAAATAAAATAAACCATTTTTTCCTTGAAACTTCCGTTGTGCGATTGGCTCCAGTTCGCCATTTTTGTGTGTGCACCAACCATGGAAGTTAGCGGGATTTCTGCCAGCTTTCATTATCTGTGGGAAAATACATACATACCAAAAATTCATAATAATTGTCATAAATGCAGTGCAATTTTTTTCTCATTATATGATTTTCTTCCTTTGCATCCTTTTTTGAGCACTGTAGGTAAGTCTATTAATATGAAAAGTTTGCTCCCATCTGAAAAGATTTCAGTATGCATGCAGAATGCAGATTATGATTTATTTCTTTGTTCTCAATACAAGTAATGTAATAATTTTCTTAAATTTTTTACTTAATTTATGTGAATTTTATTTCTGCTATTGTGTGAATTGTACTATCCAGTAGAATTCAAAAGAACGAAAATGCAAAGTGAAGTTAAACTCTTTCCTCAGTTTAGCCTGAGTATTGATTAACCCTCTCGCTGCGCATCCCGCAATTTCCACAGGCAACACAGAAGTAGCAAAATTTGCGCAACCTGCGATTTCAACGTGGATGAATATTTATGTCTATTTAACTGTGCAACCCACTCTTTCCCCATTCAAGGTTTTCTTTCGGCTTTTCTGTGATATAAATTGTTTATTTAGATGTGGGCTAGCGGATGGCGTTAGTTGTCCACATTTCTGCCAAATATACAAGAATATATAATGTAGCATTTTGCGCACACTTTTCAGAGCTCAAAGATGTCTGGCAGGAAATGTTTCACGAGTGATATAACCTATATTACACGATACTTGTGACACTGATAGTAGTTTTGACTGTGATTTCAAGTATATTGAAGATAGTTATAGCGAAACTGATGAGAATTTCTCAGATTCCTCTGCAGATAGTGATGAATCTGAAAATTCAGTTTTTATTGAAAACGGTCGAGAGTGGTGCAAAATTGATATGCAAAATATTATGTTATGTAAATATTTTCATTAGTATATATGTTTTACCTTTGTATTTTATAAAATAAATCATAATTTAACCAATATTAATTTTCAAAATTTTCCTTTTATATATCGTATTTGACGGCATACAAGACGCACTGGCATATAAGACGCACCCTCATTTAGACGGCCACACACAAGGAAAAAAAGTTTCAATAGCATGGTTTCTTTTAGTTCTCACGTTTCGTAAAAGCCAAATAAACAATTATTGAATGCAATTACCTTCACGTATAAGACACAGGTAACTTTTTTGAGACCAAATTTAGGAAAAAAAATGCGTCTTATATGCCGTCGAATACGGTAATTATTCTTCAATTTCAGTATTCTGGCAACCTTTTTCTGTGATCTAATTCTATATTGGAAAAAAAAAACCTCTTTTACAAAACATTTTTGTATATGTTAACTCTAAAATATATGTAGATTTGAAATATGTAATAAAAAATACACAATTTTTGAACCTATTTTGATAAAAAAAAGTACGCAGTGAGAGGGATAAGCCTAAAAGGCATAGAGCCTTAGATTTAAGTCCTCCAAATCCTGTAAATCTATTATGCCCTGTAATTTCGCATATTTTCCCTCCTGAAATCAAGAAAAATGAGTGATGGTGGTCTCTGAAAAACAGTGTAAGTGGCCACTGTATATACACACATCTATAATTACATAAGAAAAACTCCTTTGTTATTTGCAAAGGGTTAATTGGATTCTGTTGCGGAGACACAAGATACAGTACTTCAAAATATTTTCACTACCAATTTTCCATCAAGAAGGGTATATGCACTAATACTAAATACAATGCAGAATAACTAACTACACTTCAGATGCAGCTTATCTGAAAGCAGTGGGAAAGGTACAAACAGTGGCAAAAAATTAAAGCAGTTTTACACTTAATACTTGTTTTGAAGAAACTCTCTCACTGGCAAAGTGACAAGATGAAATAAATTTCTGTGTTTGATTTTTTATGAAATTGTCATTAAATTTTTTTCTTACATAGAAATTCTAGTACAAATAGTAGTTTGATATTTATTAAAATGCAGTGTGTTTGAGTTTCTTATGTAATTTCCTATTAACACTTAATACTTGTTTTGAAGAAACTCTCTCACTGGCAAGGTGACAAGATGAAATAAATTTCTGTGTTTGATTTTTTATGAAATTGTCATTGAATTTTTTTCTTACATAGAAATTCTAGTACAAATAGTAGTTTGATATTTATTAAAATGCAGTGTGTTTGAGTTTCTTATGTAATTTCCTATTAACTTAGCTGTTTCCTTTCCTTTATATTGTTATTTATTTGTATACTTATGTATTATATTCAGGTTCCTTACCAGATATAGTGAGTAAAGGGCTTTTAATGGCCTTTTATTCTTCCGATGAAGATTTGGATTAAAGATAAGGAAAGCATCATTACTAGTTTTGGGTTTAGTATATCCAGCTTGGCAAATGTGAAGAAATAAGTCATCATCTAATGTTAACATTTTAATATGAAAAGTGAGATTTTTTGCTACAGTATTCATGTTTAAAAATGGATTGTGATCTAGTGTAAATATAATTCATATGCTTCTTCTATAGACTTTGTTTCATACTTTAATTGCTGAACTGTATTTTGCATATAGTTTAATGCTTATTTTGTGTGTAGGCTAGAGTGTTAGGATTTTTTACCTCCTGTGAAATTTGCAAATAATTTTTTAACTTGATGTAATTTTTATAAATAGTGGGTTTCATTTTATGAATTATTGAAGTGAGAAAGGTATTATGAAATACACAGGAGCTTTAAAATGTACACATATTTGTGAGTTTTTATTTGAATTAAAGTTTAGGGTACTTAGCAAATGAAGGTGACTTCAATACTTAAACTGTGTTAGTTAGTTTCATTTGAAAGGCATTTTCTTTAAATTCATAAAAATAAATGTGTGTGATCTAAAACTGAATTTAATGTTTTAAAAAAATCGCTGTTTGTTTAAATTAAACTTAATACTTAGAGCTATTTTTTTTTAAATATTGGGTCATCTGAAAACATCTGCAGTTTTTAGAAGGTAAATTTTTATTAATAATTGCAGGCTTAATTGAACAACAGTACTCTCATTTGTTCCAGAACTCTTTTGTCATCTCTTGTCTGACAACTAAGAAATGCTCCTGTTGTAGAATTCTTTAGATTTGTTAGGGGGGAAAGTATTAAAATGTTATTTGTCTGCCTCCAAATAACTGACTTGTGTGCTGTTCAGGGAATTTTGAATTAACTTCAACAGATTAAAACCTGAAAAAGATAGTAAGAGTGTTAAATCGAAACATTCCATGCATACTCAATAAGTATCCAATGAACGTTCTATGAAATGGGAAGTAACATTGACAGAACACAGTGTCTTCATGGTTAATCAAGTCTGGTTGCTTTGCATAAATATTTGCCTTCAGAACTAGCAACAGAGAACAGTATTTATTAAAATTAAAGGGCTAGGTGGCAACATTTTATAACAAATTATTCTCTATAATCCTACAACATACAGTGAATTTTGATTTTGGGGGAATGAAATCCACATTTACAGATAACCAACTGAAGTCAGTTTGGTTTACCTCATGTTTCTTTTCTCTCTCTTAGTATTGTAAAGAATCTTCTGTTTATCCTTTGTGAAGCCTTTCTCTTTAAGAAAGATTCACAAGCTGAAATTATTGCAAGACTACTTACTCTTCAGCTATAAAATGAGGTATCCACATATTGTAGCTGCTGAGTTATCAGTTCTCTAAAGAGGACTAAGTCCAACAAAGCAACATATGCAGCCACCTGAGTTATGGCTCAGAAGAAGGCACCAGCACCTCAAAAGGCACCAGTTAAGTTTTTCTCCAAGTAAAGATATCTTCCACTTTAATTCATGTGGGGCAAAAACTATATTGATAATCTAGGGTGCTGAAAGTGCTAGAGTATAGCCTCCCTAAAAATTATTATGAACGCTACGTTTTGGAACATTTATCTGCTAATTCTTGAACTGTATTATGAAAGTTTTTATTGATGACTTCTTTTAGCAGACCTACATTTAAAGAGGCATCCAGACATGACATTATCATTGAGGTTGAAAATTTTGATTGAAACTTCTTAAATTATTTCTAAACTGTATGATCAAAACAGCTCCCTTTTCATAAATTGATGAAATTTTATGAACTGTTTGTCAATTTGTACTTTTTGTAAATTAGAAGAGCATAAATGATCAAAATGATTCTCTATTTTGTGTACTGGATTAAAACTAAACATTCCAAGCGAAAGGAACCTTTTTACTCTACAAGAGCAAATCAAGAGAGCTTCTTATTAGCTGAAAAATATTGAACAGTAAAAGTTCATAGATTAAAAAAATTGCAGAAAAATTTTCAGAAAACCCACTACTTTTGTGTGTGTTACACAGTTTATCACTGAATATTTTGTGATCTGTTTCAGTCATGTTTAAAGTGTACAGTTTGAGCTATTTTTTATGCACTTAATACAGTAAATATATATTTATGCACATTATAGTATGCCAATTACGTGCGAAGATTTTAACTGTGATCCTTAATGCTTTATTGCTAAGCTTAAATCTGAGTGTTTTTGTAGTTTGTGTGTAATAGTATTGTGCTAGTAAACAGGTGATTTTTTATTATTTAATCAGCAGTTTCCTCTGAAATTAAATTGCATGGGTATATATATAATGCACCAGTGTCTTATGTAAATTTTGTGATTAACATATCACAAACAACAATTCTGTGCCTATAGACTGCACGTGTTATAAAAGTAGATGCAGCTGATCTGTTTAGGTTGATAACATTTTTGCTTTCAATTTATATTCCTATAGTTGGATATATAGTTTTTTTCCGTTAAATAAATAAATAATAAAAAAAAAACTTTCATGTGTTAATTTCAGATTATATTTTTCCATGTTTTTAAATAATTAATTTTAACTCTCATTTGTGATATAACATAATTCATTCTATTTTAATAAATTCTGATATCTGAAAGTACTTTTTTTATTAGAGAAAAATTATTATTCACATATCATCTATTACTAAGTAAAAATTGTACATATTTTGGATATAATTTATTTTACTTCATTGCTAGTCTCTTTACATGGAAGCTTACTAGTATTGTATGTGTATTACAAATAAAAAAATTGTTTTAACATGAAGCATTTACTGCTGTTTTTAATAATTATATTTAATTATTTGATTTCAGGGCTATGCAATGTTTTTGTATTGAGGAAATTTATATAGTTTTCCATTTATTACTAATGCATAATTAATATTCCATTTTATAGTAAAAATAACAATTGAACAGAATATTTTCAAGGAGACTTACTTTGTAATTCAGATAATTTTTTATGAATTTAATTTGTTATTTAGGAAGAAATATTTGTAAATGACTGTCTTTTAAGTAGTAATAGTTTAAAATTTGAAGAAATATGTAAAAAATACTAAATGCATTACATTTTCTATACTCATTATTAATGCAAATCTCTAAACATGCATTTTATTGGAATTACTTTTGGTTTTGACTTTTACCCTTGCCTGCATGAATGACGAAACACGAATTGAATGATTGGAGAGTTAGGTTTGGAGGCAACTTCCCCTTGATAAGTCTGTCTCCTGCCTACTCAACGGTCATTCACATATGCATTTTTTTAAAAAAAATGTTTAATTTATTAAATTAGTAAATTTATTTTCATGGATTGATTTTGCACTTGATTTGCTTATGCTTCTGAATTTAAATGATACTGTAGATTAGTTCGAATATTAAATCTTTTATATGTTTGCACATTTTTCTAAAAATAATTTTGGCTTTTTTCCTTTTTTTAGGATTTAAATTTGCTTTTTTACTTTTATACGTATTTGTTTAAATTTGAATTTCATTCCTTGCAGCAATGGCGCAAAGAATATTTAATTAAATTTGTATTTAAATTTAATTTTTTAATTAAATTCAATTTATTCTTATGAAATAAAATATAATAATGTATTTTCCTATATCAAAACAGCAAGTTCCAAATTTATTTTCAGAAAATGACCCTTAAGCAATTAGAAAAATATTGAACCATAATTTATTTGCATTGCAGATTTTTCAATTCTTAAATATTTACGAATTTTTTTAAGTACTTTAGTCTTCAATACAAAAACAGTGTTGCGTATTGCTTAAGAACTGTTCTGTGTTAAAGTGAAAGTAAATTTAGCATTTAAATAAAATCCAATTATATACTTTGATAAAGAGCTGCGCAGTCACCAATATTGATCAAATTCTCATCTTGTCTTTGATATGATTTATTTTTTCATGATTCAAAATCTCATAAAATTTGTCATAGAGAAATGATTCAGATAATAAGGATACATCTTCGTATTTAATGTATATATCTTAATATAAGTAAATTTTGTCTGTAAAGTACTTGTAAATTTGTACATATTTATAAACAAAAAGTTGTAAATTCTTGTTATTTATTTGTGATCAGCATTTAATGGATTAAAGTTACTTAATTGGCTAGAACATTTTTATTACCATGAAACAGTACATGTGCTAATATTTCTGTTCCTGCCCAAACTGTAATTTTAGCTGTTAATTTATGAATAGATTGTTATACTGTACGAGTACATAAATTTTGGTATATTTTTCTCAAGTGAATGAAAAGCTTGTTAGATGGAGCTTATGTTCTAATGCTCTATTTTACTTGTCACTGTCTTCCATGAGAAAAATCATGAAAATGCTTTATTAAAAGATTAAACAGTGTCTGATTCTTAGATTTACTTTAAAAATATTTATGTACAGTTTCTTAATATTTAAATATTTCTGTGAATGGTATATATTCGTTTGAAATCTTTTAACATTTTAAATTTTGAAAAAATAATTTAATAAAATTTCTTTCATTATCTTTAATTTTATTTCATTAAAGTTTTCATAATCTGATACTACTGCTTTGAATTTTTTTAAAGTGCAAAATTATATTTTTAAAATGTATAAATTTTTGTGTTATTTTTAATTGCTGTACATTTGTTTAATGTCCTTTTTTGGTATAGTTTATATTACTACTATTACTTTTAGTACACAACTCTGAATTATATTTAAATGCATTGTTTTAAGAGAAATTCCAGAAATGACATGGGATTTCAAAGTAACTAATATCATTTCATGTTTCTCCATTTCACACATGAAGTTCAGGACATGTTTCTCAACTTTTAAACAACTGTTGTACTGTTGGAATTTTCTTTCAGTGAATTACTTTTTGAAGTGCTTTCCTATAAGTATTTATAAAACTGGAATTGGGAGTTAATTGTTGACTAATTTGTGTGATAAACCTGGTTGAAAATTTTTATGTACTGTCTTTTCACGAGCATCAGTTTTCATACAATCATCTTACTTAAATTTTTACTTTAGGTGATTATGTATTGTGTTATCATAGCTAACTGTAGTATTTGCGACTGTATATTGCAAATATGTGGAGCAATATTCCATATATGTGGAAATTAAGTTTTTGAAAGTTTTGCTGTAGGCTTTGCAGCCTATAGGAAAGGTGTAGAAGTATAATAATATAATTTAAATAGAAATAATACAAATTCTAATCAGAATGGTCTTAAGAAATAAGCAAAAGCATGTAAACTATGATATCCATTGTAAAAAGTAAGGCAAAAATATTAAATAAGGTAAGCACTGAGTGATAGGTTAGGGTAGGTTATTTAATTACGGCAAAGCCTCGAGGGCTATCTGCCTAAGGGGAGGGATGCCTTAACTTAAGTGTAACACCACCAGGAATTGTTGTATACTTCTGATTGGTTTATTTTTAGGTTGTATCATATTCATATTCTTTTAGACATGTAGTTTATCTCCTTCCTTTTTTTTTCTATTTGAATTGTATTATTATTTATTAATGACATTAAGTTATGTAATCTATTAATTTGCTCAAAATGTAAACTGGTTGTATATTTATTTATAGTTTGTGTATATTTGTTATGTATTGGTAAAATTGAAGAAACTGGTCACTTGTAAAACAAATTGCTTTTCTTTACTAAAGTATCTAAAAATTGATAAATGCAGATCATCTTACATCACAATAATATTTTTAAACGGTTAATATAATCTTAAGCAGCAAATGTTGTATTAAAAATCAAAATTCTTTTTTATCACTCAAGCATGTATCCATTAGTTTTTCAGAAAGTGATTTTAAATATTTTATTTACATATTGGGGCAAAAGATACCCATTTTAAATAATCATGTTTCCTTACATTTATATTAATATCCATTTAAAAAAAATATGTATCCATACCATTTGTTTTTCCAACTTACCCTTTTAGCTACAAAAGTATGCATACAATGAAAATAAAATTTATAGATAATAAATAAAATACAGTATAAAAATAAATTGTTATTGTTGAGAATCATGATAAATGTAAATGGATGACCTATCATGTCTGTATTCCCTGTACTGACATCTGCTGGTTTTTATTGTTTTCTCTTTCTAAATAGAGGCCCAGCAATGATGCTAAGTGGCAAAACTTAGTTCTTCATGGAAACTGGCTGTCATCATTAATGATGTTATTCCCATATAAGTTATGTTTATACATATTAATATAATCATGGTTAAGTATGAAAGGTATTTTTTGTAGTAGGACAGCTACACATAAATGTTTGAAACATGAAAAATAATAGTAAAGATATCAACTTTATGAAAAGCATGTTAATTTAGAGCTAAATTTATTACTTCTTGAACATTTACTCTTGATTGATGATCTTTTTGGCGATAATGATAGTGATGCACTTTATGTAAATGGTATTTCAATAGTTGTTTTTAATTATTGATTTATTAGGAGCTCTGTCTTAAGTAAAGGATTTTTAAAGGGAAATGTGCAACCAAAATATATGTATCTATTGAACAACATTTAACATTTTTCGCCACCAGAAACTGAATATGGATATTCAGAAGTGTCATCCATTTAATCATCAACGGCTTTAAGCAATAAAAAAATTTATGCAAATTAATGAATACATGTTTTTCCTGCATTGTTCTAGATTTCTCATCATATACTATATTTTACTGATAATATAGGTTAAAATTTACTTTAGATATTCTGTTTGTGCGAGTTATTTATTATGAAATGAATATTCAACATTCAAATTAAAATCATGCGAGAACTTTGCCATATAAGAAATGTAGTTTCTGAAGTCTCAAAAGAATTTTATTTTGCTTTAATCTGTATATTCGAAAATTCTGTTTTCAGCAGTTGGATATTGTAATATAGTTTTTGTGATAATGCCATTTACTAAGTGTCAAGTTCCCGCATTTAAAATATTAAAGAAAAATTATTAGTATTTAATGTTTTTAATATGTTTAAATGTGTAGTAAACTTTTATGATTTTTGTTGAATCAAGTAATTATTTTTTATTAGTAACATGGAGTTTTGGTATAATTTTTTTTCCAGTTCTTAGATTATGAAATGATGCTATCTGTTTCATTGCCTACTTTTTTTCACTCTAAAAAAGGTTAAGATAATGTCTCTTAAATTTCTAAATAAAGGGAAATTAAATATTTTTATTTTTTTCTGCAATTCCTATAGTTATATAAATACTTGAAAATCTTTATAATTTTATCATTTTGATTGTTTTCCTTTTTTAAGTCTGGAATGTAAAATGAAAGAGACTGAGAATTGATTTTTTGTTTTTTCAAATATTCAATTTGTAGTGTCCAGTGTAATTCATCTCAATAAAAGTTTTTCACTAGTATTATGACCATTACATACGTTTGCGAAATTGTGCGAATTTTTAAAGTTGGGCACTTTTGCATATTTTTAACATGATCTGCTTGTTTTAGAGAAAAAAAATATTTCCGTCATAATATTTCCTTTATGAATAAGTTTTTAAAAATATTTGATGTAAAGTATTTTGAATTTTATATAGATCAAGCTTGTAATCTTTCAAAGTAGTTTATTTTCTCGTCAACAGTTGTTATCTACTTAGCCTATTTTTTATGTTTATATTTTAAGCTAATTTATATTTCTTTAATAAAAGTTTTAGAATGAATTTGCGTCCATTTAATTTATTATTTATGCAGATTTCTAATATTTTTATTTGGTGGTTTGGGAAGAAATTCTACTGTAGTCTGTTACTTTAAAATAGGAACTCCCAAAATTCTTTGACTCGTACGCATTGTAAAGGTGCAGAATAGAATTGCTTGATCTCCCCCCTTTCATTTCATTCCATTTTCCATTCATTTCATTCATGTCCACTTCACGAAGAGCATGTGAATGAAGGTTGACTAGAACTACACTATCAAACGATGTAAAGAAAATAAATACTGAGCAGTGATGACGGCATGAGTTATGATCGCGAATGGGGGGGGATTTGGATGGCAACATCCTATTTTAAAGTAACGGACTTATATTTATGCTTTGTAGCGCAAATGTACAGTAGCCACGTGAAAATTCCACATATGTTAGACAGGAAGGAATGATTGTTATATGTATTATTTTTTTAATAGTTCGATAATTGTGCATTAAGAAATATAATTTATTTACTTCCTTGTACGAAGTAAAGGAAGTATTGTAATCACACAAACTTCCGGTTATCATATTTCATTGAAAGTATCCATTTTGATCACTATTGAATGCAATTTAACGATGTTTTTGCTGTTTTTTCACGACACCTGTACATAAGGACAAATAAATTATTTTTTTCCCCCAAACGAATTAAAAAAAATTATCTTAAAATGGATTAGGAAGAGATTTTCTTTTTGTGGCGTCTATACGTACATATCTCGCGTAACTCAAAAATGAGTAACTTCGGGACAATGAAATTTTGTATATAGGACTGGCGTAACATGTAGTTGTGCACTTCCCTTTTTGGTTGCAATGGGCCGCACAAAAGTCTATAAATATATATATTCTCACTCTGTTACTCGGCTACGTGAGCTCGGTTTTATTTATTTATTTTTTCAATTCTTATATGTTGGTAAATTGCGCATTTTTTGCTTTAAAAATGATTAAATTATGTTGTTCTTTTCTTCCGGTTAAGGTTTTTATGCTTTTAGTTAACCTGCGTTGTAGAATTATCAGCAATTTAAAAGTTGAGTGCGGCTAAGCCTAATTTTGCTTACCATAGTAGCCATATTTGTTTACATTTGAAACTTAGCAGAATAATGAATTAAGTCTTTCTGCGCTATCAGCGTCTTTGTGCCGAGTGGGATCAAAAGAAAAGTTTTAGTTTTGTGCTCCGAAAAATTTGCCTTCCTGCCTGCTGGACGAATTCCTTGTTTTTGCGCAGAAACTAATTTTAATTGTAAAAAACGTTTTTTTAAATTGCTTTAATTGTACTTGTGTTTTATGTTTTTTTATCTATTTCAATTTTTAATGAAGATATTTTTAATTTTTATGTATTTTTTGCCTTGCCGCAAAGTGAGAACTTAATTGAATGAGAAATATCTCTCTAATGAAATTCGAGGAACTGTTTCGTATTAGCAGCAAATATTGTCGCCAGTCTGTATCGGACAGAGGAGAATGTTTATGTGTAGCGCATGCTCATTAGGTAAGCGACGCTGAATTGTCTGTGACAAACTTTCTCTTTTTTAATTTATTTTATACATCGCTTTAAATTTATTATAGTATTTTAATAGAACATGTGGCTACGTTCTTCAAATGATATAACGATAGTTCGTCAGATGGTATAATTTTTGTGCATTAGGAGTTATAAAATGAATGAGATGTAACTCTGTTAAATGAACCTAGCACCAGAATGTCGAATGTCGCAACGGTAAATAATTATAGTGAATTTTATAGAGTGCATTTATTCTATTGTGGTTTATGTGCTATCGACGAAGTAGATTATTCAATAAGTTTAAATGAAATTTGGAAAAAAATGCGTATAATTTAATATTCCGTACAAGGAAGTCATGTGGTGCACATATCGGAATTTTTTTAACTGCTTTTTAGGGATTTGCTTAGCGTTAAGTATTTTAAAACACATGCATATATAAATGGAAAAGAAAAGCGATATCGCAGGAAAATAAATTTTTGTTTCAATGCATGTCTACATCAAAGTAGTTTACAATAAAGGGGTTACTGTAGGATAATGTAAAATTCAGTTGTTTTCATTATTATTACTGTTTTTATGGAGAAGCTATATATTTCTGTCTTTTAGCAGCAAAAACATTCTGTAGGTAATATAATTATGAGAATTCACAATTGTAGTAATATTATTTATTACTCCAGTAAAGCAGCGTTTAAAAAAGAAGACGGAATAAAACTTCTTCATTTTGGAAAGGACAAATGCAGCTAAGTGAAAAGTTACTACTACAATTGTTTACAAATAATCATTGTAAGGTTTTGTATGTGTGATTATGGCAAAGCCTCGAGGGCTATCTGCCTAAGGGGAGGGATGCCTTTCGTGGAGGACTTTCTAAGGGAAACTGGCTCGTATACACGTTACACATGGGGAAAACCACGAAAACGCCCATGCAGCCAGCCCGTTCGCGGGATTCGAACCTCGGACCGAACTACCAGTGTTCAGCGACTTTACCGCTCGGCCGCTGGTGGGCTAATCATTGTAAGGAAATGAAGGTGATATAATTAACGGGTTAGTTCTCAACCAGCATGGAGAGATTTCATAGTTTAGAAAAGAATATGGTCAGCCTTTTATTTTTACTCATTAAATATTATTTATTTGTGGTACTTGTGAACATTTTCTGTACTTTTTCTAATGTATAAATACGTTAAAAGTAATCTAAATGTATGCATATTTTTTTAGTTTTAGAAAGGGGAAATTATTATCTACCAACGATAAAATGCATGCATAGGGCGAAAAAGCTTGAGAACCACTGGTATATAATAATCTTTTACTTTTAACCATCGAATATAGAAATGGTAATTTCCAAAATCTTAGTTCAGTTTATTTCTGAAAAAATGTGTATTTGATAGATATTCTCCTAAAATATCCATAAAAATATTAAGTCATGTACTTTGAATTTTAGAAATGTGTGCATAAAAATACTTTTATACATTCGGTCATATTTTTTGGATTCTCTGCTGATTTATTTACAGTGAAATGTGTCACAAAACAAATTTAATCTTCTTCCCATGCACTGTTACCCCTTCCTGTCTTACAAGAACTGCACTTTGCAGAAGTTTTACCATTTCAAACAGATTTTGTATGTTCATAATAAGTATGTACAGGGTGATCATTAAAAAAAAAATTTGATGTGTACAACATGACTTCCTTGTACGCAATATTAAATTATACGCATTTTTTCTTCCATTTCATTTAAACTTATTGGATTGAATTAAATCTACTTTGCCGACAGCGCATAAACCACAATAGAATAAATGCATTCTTTAAAACTCACTCAAGTATTTGTTTATCATAGCGACACTCTGGCGCTAGATTCACTTAACAGTATTAATAATTATATGACAGTTAACTTATATAATAATTATATAACGGAAACTAAGTTAACTGTTATATAATCCAATAATTATATAACAGTTAACTTATATATTTCGTTCATATTATAACTCAGAATGCACAAAATTTATATCATTTAAAGAATAGAATTATCTAATCGTTGCCACATGTTCTATTCAAATACTATAATAAAGCTAGAATAATGTATAAAATAAACTAAGCAAACAAAACAAAAAAGAAACAGTTTTTCACAGACGATTCAGTATTTTTCATTTAATTAAATCAGTTCTTATTTCACGAGAAGGCAAAAATGCATAAAATCTCAAAATATCTATAATAAAAATTATGAAGTAAATCTTGAACACTTATTTCCTCGAAAAAATTCCAGAAAGAATTAAGCATAATTTAATGGCAATAATAAATGAATGCGTTATCTTTGTTGTTGGGAAGCTAAGTTTCTCTAGATTGCCAACAAATCCACTAATCTTTGTTTCAAATGCAAACATCAATGGCCGCCATATAAAAAAGGCTTAGCGGCACTTGGATAACTTTAAAATTGTTGATATTTCTCAAAATATTGCATACAGATTTACTAAAGGCATAAAAACTTTAACCGGAAGATAAAAACAACATAATACAATCATTTTTAAAGCAAAAAATTTACAATTTACAAACATATAAGAGTAAAGAAACCGAGATCACTGAGCCGGGTAACAGAGTAGATATATATATATAAACATATTTATAAACGTTTGGTGCGGCCGATTGCAACCAAAGTACGAGGTGCACATCTACATGTTATAGCAGTCCTATATACAAAATTTCAACGTTCTGAGGCTACTCGTTTTTGAATTATGCGAGATACGTACGTTCGTACAGACGCCACGAAAAATTCTCTTCAGAATAAATTTTAAAGCAGTTTTATAATTTTTTTGAAGGAAAAGAGTATTTTATTCTGTCCTTACCTACAGATATCACGCAAAAACATCGTTAAATTGCATTCGATAGCGGTCAAAATGGATATTTTCGTTGAAATATGCTGCCTGAAACTTTTCGCGATTACAATACTTCCTTTTTACTTCGTACAAGGAAGTAAAAAAGAAACTCCCCCGATATATGAACCCATAGCAGGCTATTCATGCAACCAATCAAAATGAAATTTCAGGTATTGTTATGTGAAGGTTGCATTCGAGGTTGTGATGATTTAAAATGCAACTTTCACGGTTACGGTTAGAGTGAACAAATTTAAAAAATTTTCGAATGCAACACCCACTTTTTTCTTGCGCAAATTGATCTGTGTACTGCAAAATCATAAATGGCTTTGGAACAATACATGTATGACGAAAATTGCCAGTGTTAAAATATTTGTGAAGAAGAGCATTGTAAAGGTTCAGTAACAGCACACAAGAGGGAAGGGAGGAGAAAACATTTTATTGGAATTACAAGTTTTCAACTTGTAGAACATTTCAAGATTAAAAGTCATCTCCCATTATTCTGTAGTTTCGTGGCTACCGTGATTTCCCCCTCCCCAGTTAACTCCGATGGATTTCTAGTTCTGGGGTTATGTGAAATCTGGTATACACATCAAATGTAGTCAGAACTGAAAGATGCCATAAAAGATGAAGTTACAGAAACTCCTCCTATTACATTCGTCATTGTTGTCAACAGTCTCCCACGTGCAATGCGTTATAGTCTGCGAAGGTGGGCGCATTGAAAACTTGTAATTCCATTAAAAGTTTTTAACCTCTTCTGTCTTGTGTTGTCACTGGGGCTTTACAGTGCTTTTTTTTACAAATGTTTTACGTTGGTAATTTTCGTCATACATGTATCGTTTCAACGCCATTTATGGTTTTTCAATTTGCGCCGAAAAAAAAGTGGATGTTGCCATTAAAAAAATTCGAAATTTTCACTGTAACCGTAACTGCGATAACTATTGTTTTAAATCATCACAATACCTTCAAATAACATCTGAAATTTCATTTTGACTGGTGAGCAGGGTCGCTAGGGGTTCATATATTGGGGACTTTTTTTATGACACCCTGTATATGTATGCATATAGAGAAAAATTTCCCTCAGGAGGAGTAATAAGTGAATTCTGTTAACTCCAGAATACCATGCATAATGACTTAAACGCCTATGTTATTCTTTAGTATAATTTAATAAAGCATGACAAAACTAAATTTAAGAACATATGCAGTACAGAAAATCAGTTCAAAAAAAGTATTGCTAAGCATTTTTTGTCATATTTCGTGAAGTGAATCTTATTCAGTTCCATTTTCTACTCCCTTTTTCCATGCATGGCACAGCAAAAAACTACTAATTTTTAAAATCAGAACAACATATTTGCAGTTCATATAATCCACTTATGAGACACTTCAGTAAGTCCAGTTGCATGTATAATATATGTTTATCCTCTTGACTAGAGTTTGAGTTCAATAAATTTTTCTTTTATCTAGAATGAGCTTTGCAGAATGGTTTTCCACTTTTTGCATAGAAACTTTGACCTTCCAAGCCTTTATTGCATATCTAGAAAGGTAAAAAAATGAGCATGTATTTTTTAATAAATACTTATAAAAGCCAAAGTATAAAAAATCTAACTTTTTGATCCTTTCCGAGTGAGAGTTTTCATGCTAAGTTGCAGTGTAACCCTTTCGCAGTTTTCGCTCGGGCGAATCAGCAACTCTAGAAGATTTTCCGCATATTTGATGAATTTCTTTATAGCTAACTTAAAATGATTCGATTTGTAACTGTTACAACTTAAAATGATTCGATTTGTAACTGTTACCATAGTAGTTCTTGAAACTGGCCATCGCGGAGGATTGATGATTGATAGAGAGGGAGGGCCTACAAACGCTGCAATGACAGCCTGGGCACATAATTTACAACTGCACACACTTTTCTTTGTCCTGGCAACCTTGCTAAAAAAAACTAAGTGAGTGGCGTAACAGCCGTAGTAGGCCAATGCCTGCAGTGCCCCGAAATCTGCTTCCTTGACTGTGGGCCCCGGGGTGCGTAAGCATATGTCCTGAACAAGTGGTCAGCTTGGTCGTAGGACCCCCAGTGTTTAGTCCCCAAGCGAACAAAGGATGGAAATCAAGGGATGAAAGGCTGAGTCGACCTTGTCCAACTCGGGGATCGAACCCCGGACATGTGGTGCTGCTGCGCGATGCGCTAGCCACTGCGCCACCGGGCCTCTGGAAACCTTGCTAAATTGTTTTTAAATTTGGGGTCTTGTTTAGGGACACCAAACATGTGCGTTATAACATTATTTTCTATAATTCTCTAACGGCATGAATCGTCCAGTCGGCTCGTGTCATTAGATTGTACCCTCCACAACATGTTGCTGTTGCTTATGCTCACTTGTCTGATAGCAACATCAGGCCAAACCCACGAAATTCCTCGTGGCAAGGAGCGCTCGAGATATGCCTATCGATGGCAATAGCCATAAACACCTTACAAGTTCCTCCACATTATAGTAGCATCAACGTTGCATTAGCGCGAACATTGCATCAACGTTGAATGATTCGAACCATGCGCAAAGCAGATCAAAACTGAACTACCGTACTCTTTACAGTTTCGCTCACTTGCTGTCGATCTGATATCAGATTTGATGAGCTGAGTTTGGCCAGAAATCCGATTGTCAGAATATCTTTAAAGCCTGCAGAGTTCGCGCAACTGCTACAACTGCCTTTGAATTAAAGATTTGTCCATACCGTATGCTCTTGGATCCATCTTTTCTACGTGCTCTAACAGACTAGTAGTCGACAACTGGTCTTGCTTCGTTAATCATTTGCGATCACGAAAGGTTTCAAGAAAAATTTCATACAGTTTCAATGACAACATTAAAAAAGGTGAGTTTCCAGTGTGTGGGGGTTAGGCATATATGCGCTTTGGTAATAAGATGCCAACAACAGTTTCAAAAAGAAATATCCAAGACTGTTAGGTTTTAGAACTCTCAGCTTGGAAGTGCCAATGCATTTATAACAATGGGCAATTGTCACTCTAGTTAATTCCATTATCAAAGATTAGCTCATTAAAGTGTGTTAGCCCAAATTTCTAGAATTTGTTCTAATTCTTATTCTGATATTATACTGAATAAGACTTGTTATCTATGAAAATAGGATCGCCTAAATTAGCAATGAAATTTATATCATCTGGAAATGGCAGTGTTATCTGAAAAAACGTACTTACCGTGCATCTGAAACATTGTGAATGATAATTGTTATTCAAAGCTTCTACCCAACGATCACCAGCTTCAATGGGGAAACCGCAGCCAACACATTTCGTAGTGAAGAGTTCATTCCAATCTAGACAGAAGAATAATTTGCGTGTTATATTAAACAATAATTTATTATATGTTATATTCTTTTTTCCCTAATAAGTAATAGATATACAAAATAGGCGAAATTTCAACGACGGCTAAAAATAATATCAATTTGGAATTCTACTAATATCCAGCTTTCTTTCCCAGCAGTGTACGTGAACTGATCTGAAGAAATGAAAGAACTGGTAAAATCATCGGTATGAGAATATAAGTTAGTTTAAGATCAAATAATGGTAAGTTTAAAATGCAATGGGAATATTGTCTCTTACAATTTAGGAGCGCAGGAAATTATTTTCGCTTTCCTAGATTATTTTCCATATTTCAGCATTAAATTTTCAGAGTTTTATTTATACCATAATCTTCAAATCACCAGAAAATAGTTTTTATTACTTCGAAATATTTTGAGAATTTCAAAAATTTTATGATTATTTAAATTTTATTTACTGCTATAAAGTTTATATATCAGGACTGTGAAAGCTATGAATTTTATTTAAGTTTTCTACTAGATGAATATTCATACTTTTTACATTTTCAATGAGTATTAAATATTTCTCCCCCTTATTATGAACGGTATTTATATAAACTATTTTTTGGAGTTGTCTGTCTGATTTTCTCAGTTTTTATATGCTGTCTTTGATTCTTCATACAGCGTCTATTTATTTCACTCACTTTTTTTACATATTTAAACAGAAATAAAAATATGATTTACGATTTTTCAAACTTTAATATGTTTATATTTTAGTTAAGGATGAAAATCATAAGAAATTACACTATTAATTATGAGACGAATAAGTTCAGTTACCTTTCTCACAATAAGGCCTGCCATCTTCCATGTAAAATGAACTGTTCCCAAATGGTTTATGGCAAAAAGCACATACAAAGCAGTTTGGATGCCATTGTTTATCCAAAGCATTTAGACAATCCTAGAAACGTAACAAAATTGTATTTAGATACAGATTAATATATATTCTAATTCTAAAATATTTCACCAAATATAAAAAATGTATTCTATAAAATTATATGTGATATTTATAAAAATAAGTTTCAATATTGCAATTGTTTTAGAAATCAATACATTTTTGAACCCTCTAAGCGGCAAGGCCGTATAGATACAGCCTAGAATATTTTTTGATATGTCTGTAAGAACGTATATATATATGTATATTAAAATATGTCAAAGAAATTAAGGCAATATATCAAAAGTACACAAATCCAGGTATGTAATACCTGAAGAGGTTTTACATTAAAATAAAATAATAATAAAAAAAAAATTTTGTTCTCATGGTAGTTTTTGGAAATTAGTGCTTTCGTAGTGAAAACCCTGGCCGCTCAGAGGGTTAAAAAATATTTAAAAATGCATTTTACAGAAAATGTAAATGCTTTTGGAAAATCTAAAATATTATTCAGGAAATGCATAAAAATTAGAAGACGATTTTGAGATGCTCACGATTTCTTATTAACTGAATACATCACATTATTCAGGCAAAGTAAAGCGTTGAAGTACCTGATTTTACATCTAAAATAATAATTAATCATTCATTTTTAGATGAAGTTGGACAAGAATGACGTGGGGCTACATTGCATAGAACATAAGGTAATTGAATTACTTACGCATTAAAAAATAAGAAATAAAAACTTGAATTAATTTGCCGACCACGGCGCTCCGTAGGCTGTCTGAAAACGTTTTCGACCTAACAAAGAAAAAAGATATTTTTTCCTCCAAAATTACCTTTATTTTCCGACATAGTGTCCTTGTAAGTCTGTACGAATATTTCATCCTTTCATTGATGCTCCTTATTCCTTCCTTTCAGTGATGCTCCCATCCCTTTGACTCGCCCAAATATGTGGAAACTTTCTCTGTAATATCTCCTCATTTGACGAAAATCTTTGCCCTCCAAGCGCTTCTTTTAGCTTGGGGAACGAAACAAATTCACCTGGTGTCGGGTCTGGGGAATAGGGCGGGTGGTCAAGCAGTTCAAATCGTAATTCATGGATTTTTGCTATTGCAACCGGTGACGTGGGACATGGAGTGAAATAAAATAAAATTTGATTTGGTGAAAATTTGGTTTGGTGAAATAAAATTTTTTCTTTTGGAATGTGGCCGTTTTTCCGCAATTTCTGCCTTCAGCTTGTCAAGTAACGTTACATAGTATGCTCCGGTAATGGTTTTCCCTTTTCAAGATAATCTATTGAGACAAGCCAATGGCTGTCCCAGAAAACTGTTGCCATCACTTTCCCAGCAGAAGGAACAGTTTTTGGAGCCGATTCTCGAATTTGAGAATACTGCGTTAGAGAATCGGGGTTTATTATTAGTGTTTATGAATGTTTTTAAAAATATGTAGTCAGTGAAATTTAAAATTCATTTAAAATTTATTTTTTATTTTGTTAATCATTTAAAAAAATTTTCTTAAAAAAATTCTAGCTCTTGAGCTGTTTTCAGATTGTGCATGCGGACAGCTGGCAATTTGGGTTTCAGACTGCGTTAGAAAATCGGGGTTTATTAGTTGTTATTACCGTTCTGGCTTATCTGCTGCTTAAATCAAATAATGGTTAGGCTGTTTACAGTAACAAAGTAATTGCTCATGTAACTTTCATATACGTATGATAACTACCCTCATATACTTATACTATTTTAATCATAAAAAATACTGATAATTTTAACGCAATGTTAAAGAAGTGAAATATTATAAAATAATAAATACGTTCAATTTATTTTACGTGAAGTTATGAGAAATGTTTTAATATTTACGGGCTTTTAAGATATTCTCCATAAGAAGGTTTTGATATTCTTTTTTTTTTTTTTTTTTTTTTTTTTTTTTTTTTTTAATCTTGTTCAACGTATTAGAAAGCCTAGCTTAACTCTTTCTTGTCTCCAAAAGATCGTAGAAAGATGTCTTTTTTTAAAGTTTTGTTAAAGGCTGCTTTCAAGGTAACTTCCATGCTGGCAATTGTCTGTTAATTTATCAAAAGGATGCCGACATATTTGTACTTCTTCTTCATAAACATCGTAGTAGCAAAACTATTGACTTTTATTTATTTAGTTTTTCTTCTTTTAAACGTCGAATTTATTATGCAGCTTGCCGTTATGCCTTTGGATAATGCTAAACTGAATAAGAAATGATTGTAGGCAAAGTAAAAAAAAAAAAAAAAAAGGCTAATCTTTGGAATATGGTAACAGGTAGTTTGGCGACATTTTGGCAAGGCGATAAAGGTTACTAACTAGGACTTTAGCAGTGTACACGGATAAAGTCAAGAGTGTGCGCAATGCCATTTTTGTGCAATTCTGGGATGTTTTTTTAAGTGAAAATAGGTCGACGTGTACATGGATACCGTGGATGTGCAATTCTTAAAAACGCAGCAAGCAGTGGGCGATTCTGCCCTTTCTCCCAATTTCGCACCTAATCTTTGTCATGATTAAGCACTTTTGTTCCATAAAAGTTCTAGCATAAGCGTAATTCGGCTAGCAGATTGTTGGAAAAAATATTGCGTAAAAAAAAACATGCCTTCGTGAAAACAAAATGGCGTCCAAAACAAAACTAGCAGGTTGCTGTAGCAGGGTTGGTCGCCAAAGTTTCGCCAAGTTACCATAATTCGAAGATTAACCAAAAAAAATCGTATGAAACATACTCCTTTGATTCTGCAGCCGCATTTGGAGCACGTAGGTGCCAAGTGGGCTTCATAGCAGTGTTCGCAGTACAGTTGGCCTCGGTCTTCAACAAAACCAATTTCAACCAAAGAGCGTTGGCACTTATTGTTGGCACATAAAAAGTGATCTGGACACCAGGACTTCCCGAGTGCCAAAACAAATGGACCTCTGAAACACATATTCCAAGAATTAATTTTGTCAAAATTAACGCATATTTTACGCAATTTAATCCATAAACTAAAATTGTGTTTGATGACTTACCTGATTGGAGTTCCACAGATATTGCAAATGGGGATCCTAGCACCTGTTGCAACTTGCTGTTTCATTTGTCCTCGCCCTCTTCTAGGAGCTGGTCTTGAACCTGTGCCAGCACTCATAGCTACTCCAGAAGGCAAATTTCCTGAAGTGGAGGAGGTAGTTGTTGTGGTCATCGAACTGCTTACATTCCAAGACTGGGCTTTGTTGCTTTGCACTGGATTGCGGGGCTTAGGACTGGTAGTGGGTGGAGCTTTTGATCCAGCAGATTGAATGCCAAAAGTAGGAGTTGGGCTTGAAACTTTTGGACTTGGGGAGAGAGGGGATGCATATTTAGGGACAGACGTGGCATGTTGAGTGCCAGGAGGGGGTCGATAGGAAGGTAAAGTAGGAGTAATGTTAGAAGTAAGAACAGGTTCTGAAGGCGCATTCTTCTGAGGTGGCCACACAAATTTATGACCTGTGTGGAAAAAAGTAAAGGAGGAAGAAAAGAGAAATAGATACAGAGAAAAGATTGAAATAGAAACAACTGGGCTCAATTTGTAGTGAGGCATTTTTTATAACTATTTATCAGCTAATTTCGTATTTTAAAAGACATAATTTTGCTAGTTACGAAAAAAGATGCTAGTTAAGAGAAAAGTAATTATATGAAATATATTTTTCCTAAATACTTTTTGCCTTTATAATTAGTGCTGGTGAATGAAAAATGTAATGCTATAGAAAATGAACTTAATTATTAGTTTTCATCTGACTCAGTTTAACCATAGGCGGTTTCCTAATACTTCAGTATTTTATAATGGCAACCATAACTTGCTTCAAAATATCCTGTAAATAATTCAGTCCTCGGGCGATTCTTTATTGTGACATATTTGAAAATTCAAACGATCATATTTGTTTGAAAATGTATGTTCCTTTCCCACCCCTTACGAGTACAATCGGTAATTTTTTTCCCTTAAAGTGAGTGATATTGAACTGCAGTATCAAATGTTGTTAGTGTGATATTTTTTTCAGTTTATTAAGTTTGTGCTGGACAATATTTATATTATAGTCAATTATAGTCAATATATATTCTTTAAATTATGTTCATAATTTTTTAAAATACGTTATGGAAAAACGCTTATTTGTAGAGAACAAGGAAAACTTTTTTATTTACGACTTGTATTAAATGCTTCGTTTGCGAGAAATTTTAGAATTAAATTTTTATATTTAGTTTTATTTAAATTTAATGCATTAAAAATATGAAAAATTAGATTTTGTGAAAAGAATATTTTTTTCGTTTATAGATATTTAAAAATCTGAGTTATAGGTATGATAGTTCTTTTCCAATTCTTGGACTGAAATGCTATAAAAATTCCGATTCTTGAATTACAAAGCATGCAAAGGCTATCTTCCTAAGAGGGACGCCTTCATGGAGAATTTTTAAAGGGAAACGGCTAATCTTTAGAATATGGTAACAGGTATAGTTTGGCGACATTTTTGTTTACTAGCTAGGACTTTAGCAATAATCTGAGAAGTACACAGTTCGAATCAGAGATTATTTTGTCTCAGAGAAATGAGATATCATGAGACATGTCATGTGACATTTTCCGGAAAATTCCGATCGTGATTTTAGCTAGTAAGCTAAGAAACAATTTCGCTGTAAAGTGCAGAATCGCCCACTTATTTGTTTGGCACTTTTTACAAGATTAAGAAGATGGATTTTTTTGTCAATTTTCTTTGACTTTTTAAGTGAAAATAGGTCAATGTGTACATAGATAAAGTCAAGAGTGTGCGCATTCCATTTTGTGCATTATGGGATTTTTTTAAGTGAAAATAGTCGACGTGTGCATGGATACCGTGTATGTGGAATTCTTAAAAACGCGGCAAGCAGTTTGCGATTCTGCACTTTCTCCCAATTTCGCACCTAATTTTCGTTATGATTAAGCATTTTTGTTCCATAAAAGTTCTAGTATAAGCGTAATTCGGCTAGCAGATTGTTGGAGAAAATGTTGAGCTAAAAAAAAAAAGCCTTTACCTCGTGAAAACAAAATGGCGTCCAAAACAAATTTAGCAGTTTGCTGTAGCAGGATTGGTCCCCAAATTTTCGCCAAAAAATCGCCAAGTTACCATAATGTAAAGATTCACCGGGAAACTAGTTTGTATTCACTTCACACATCAGAAAAGCTAACTACCTAGCTTTAAGATGCCCGTTTCATATAGCGAGGGTGATTATGGTGTTGATGGTTCTGAACTGGAATCAATTCTAGGGATTGGATAATATGAGTTACGGCAAACAAACAAATGAACTTATAAGTAATTCGAGGAGAACGTTTTGAGGTAAACTGTCTAGTATTTACGTCGCAGATTGAGGAAGCCATGAAAACTTCTATGTAACCAACCGTTTATGTGGATGATTTAAACTTGGGTTGAACTACTGGTTTTCATCGATTTTATTGCTCGGCATCTAGCAGGCTCCAATCAGAGCTAAGACTTGGATGTACATGTATAAAATAAAGAAATTAAGGTCGGGCAGATTAAAAATATTTCTGTAAGGCTATCAACAGAGAAACAGGGATAATAGTCCCTTGGCCAAGTGTGCCATCGACCGAAGTATTAGTTTATTAGTTTAAGCAAAATTGTACCATCACCGTGAACACCACTAGGCCTGTGATAAGCGACCGATAGTTTGATCACCCACGTGTGGTGATTTAATGATTTATCCATATTGACCCACAATAAGCAAGTTGACATCGGCAATGTCAAGTTAGAAATCCTATAATTTTTTAAATTATTAAAAAGATCTGGATATTATTATACCTATTTAATGTTTCATTTAAACTATATAAACTCTACTTTGCATAAATTAACAAAGACGTAAGAACAATGCAGAAAACTCTCTAAAACCATTATGCTCGTTTAACATACTTAAATCTTCAAATTTATCAAAAAGTATTTATAATAAAAAAAATATCAAGTGATGGGATAGTTGTATGTCTTAAAATGCATAAATCACATGCAAAATGGAAGAATTAGAATCTAGGGATGGGATTGTAATTCAAAACTGATCTTCATGCGACTGCAGATGAAAGTGTTACCGTAAATGAGTTTAGCATGCTTAAAGGAAGCTTCAAAACGTGCAGTTGAAAAGAGGAATATTTGTAAATAGATATTTACTTGAGATGGCATTTTTTACGCTTATTTCATATTAGAAATTCTCAAATTGCATACTAGTTGTAATTTTAATACCATAATGAATGAAATAAAGTTACTGTACTGTATATTAAAATATATTGTCACAAATTTTGTATATATGTAAATAATCTTAGTGAGATTATATGTGAATTGTAGCATTTTTTTGTATAATGTAACATGAAATGCTTGAAAGAAACGAAGCTCTGCCGAAAAAATAAGGTTACGGGTGCAAGCCTATTTAACATTAAGGTAAATGGGTTTCTCGCTAAATTGGCGAGGTATCGCCAAGGTGGCGATTGTTTTGGCGACTAATTTTTCTCGCCAAACTTGGCGATAAGCCACTAAAAAGTCTCCAAATTTGGCGATATTTTGGTCCAGTCCCTGTTATACTTGTAATTGTTATCGTAATTAAATAATTGTAGTTGATTCCTATATATAACTCCCTATCCAGCCCTCATGTGCCTTCCAGGAATTTCGAGAAGTGGAAGGATTTCTCATATCAGAGAGCATTAGTTTCTCAGTTGTTTAGTTCAGCGGTGCGTACGAAATATTTACAGATCTCCGTGGAAGCTTCGCTTTTTAGATGCGCTTTGCACAACGCTGATGTGATACTCAGAAGGACAGTAACATTATTTTTGTGGAAAGCTCCAGAACTGTAAAGTCTTTCTTTTGGTAAAATAAGTTTTATGAAGCTATCATCGGTTCTGTGTGCATTCAATTTACCACGAACGCGTGCACACGCAACAGTTTGCATATATTTAATTAATTCTGAAATGAAAATAGATGAATTTATGTATATTTAAGAATTTACTTACAGTGATCCTAACATATAGCTACAGTATAAATAATTTTATTGCATAAAAACTCATTTATTTCATATGTCATATCGATCAAAAAGAAATCAGAGAGAATATACTGGTAAAAAAAGAATCAGGACAAGGCCAGCTAAATTTGTAAAACTTACCCTGACTAAATTCTGTCTCCAGTTTCTTCAAAAGTAATCACTTTCTGCTCTTACGCACATTTTCCAGTGCTTACGCCGAGATCAAAATGGTCGTTGGAAGGCTTTTAACTGGAATGCGTCTAACACTTTTAGCGAGTCAACCTGGATGTTTTACCGAAATCACTGTATTATACCGCTCTCTTAGGGCGATAAGTTTGATTCATAGCTATGAATCTGAAGCAAAATAATAGGCTTCAAAACGAGCGGACTTATCCCTCCAGATCAGACATCAGATATTGTGGATATATGTTGATTGGTTGACTAGTCAATTCACAGACCTCTAAAAAATCAACAGTGTTTGGCCAAAACGAAACTTGTTTTTTTTCTTATTCTTCTACTTGTCACATTTAGCACACTTTATATTTTTAAGACTGGAATTCAAAGTGAAGGGTCAGCTCTTTGTTTCCTCAAGGACCATTGAGGTAGAATGGTACAGTCTGTCTATCATAAGAAAAGCTCTCGCCCGTTAGTCTACAGCTGTCTGTTGAAAAAGAAACGAGCCTTGACCCATTTTCCGTAGGGATGTCTTGAAGACGAATGATAACTCTTTTCCGCCTCAGCCAACAGTCACCAAAAACAAAATAACAATAAAGCAACTCTTGGCTCGAAGCAACTCTTGGCTCGCCCCTATTTTGAAATATACTAGCCCTGTTGCTATAGCGACCACCACCCGCCAGACACTGTGGCGGGCACTGTTCTTCTTGTAGACAGACAGTAAAGGATGTGAAACACATTTCACTTAGGTAAACAAGTAAAAGCGCATGGGGCACCAGAGACTTCACTATAAAGTCGAACGGCTGGTTGCCACAATACACAAACCAGCTAGAGTTTCATCCCCCCCATGAAGTCGCATGAGGCTCTGAGGGGTTAGATATTATAGACTTCTAGAGATTATTCTAGTTATAATGTGATCGTAGATAAATGCAGAAGGGGGCTACTTTGAAAAGAAAGGAAACTAGATTCAATTCAGAAAAATTTCTATAATTCAGCTTAGTCTGGTCTCTTTCTTTTTATCAAACCAATAACCAGTATTTGGATGTATTGATAATTTTCGAAAATTAATACTTAATATTTTATTATTAGAGAACATATTAGCAATTTGTTTTGTTTCAATTAAAATATATACAACTAATATTTAAATCGTATCGAAAGAATATTGAAAGTGTTTATTTCAAGAGCAAAATTTTGATATAAAACAATACGTATTGCTTTTCACGATAAACACTTTTTTGTCAACTCATATACACCACCAAAACATACATGTTTCGATTTTTATTGAGGTATAA